CTCATGTTCCAGTTAGGATGCAAAAGGGCTGTGGGAGGCCCAGTATGCCCAGGGCAGCCAGTGGTCGGGCCTGAGAACAACGTAGAGTGACCTGTGTGGATCTGATGACCAGAGGTCATCCCTTCAGATAGAGCAGAGAAAGAAGCCCAAGACCAGAATCCGCGGTGGGAGGAGAGAACACTTGCAATAGAGACCAGCACAGATGAGGCCGTGGCAGAGGTATGGAAGAGAGTTCTCTCTGGAGCAGAAGGCCCACCGGAGATGGCATCCAAAGAGTGATGCCCCCTCCCCAGCCGTGCTTCCCTGGCATTTGGGTAAGACCCACCTGACACTGAACATGAGCCCCAAGGCTGGAGGAAGGGCAGATAAACAACGTTGAAGAGACTGAGTGTTGAAACTGTAGAGAATGAGAAATGCTGAAGTTAGGTTTATCAGGAAATACTGAATTAAATACTGTCTGCATCAGAATAGAAGCTCAGAGACAGATTAAAATGAGTCAGGGGAAATGCTGTTTCTTGCACACCTGAGTCTGTGATGGTAAAAATCTGTACTCACTCCAATTAGAAGGAAAGAAGTCAGATAGTGCCTGGGAACCCAGATGAGAGGGATTATGGCAAAAGCCAGAGGAGTGAGGAAAGGTTCCAGTAGAGGGGGCAGCCTGTGCCAAGGCACAGAGGTCTGAGGCATAGTAGCTGGCCCTTCCAGAACCTTCAGAAAGTCACTGTGACTGGAGGGGACAGCAGAACTAGAGAATGGACTGGAGAAAGGTAAGACAAGAGGCAGGGCCCAAGAACGGGGGTCCAGACCCAGGCAGTAACAATGAGGAGAGGACATCATCAAGTAATCGAGAAATGTATAGGGGGAAAACCTCAGCCTCTAGGGGATGATCAGGTCGGGGGGGGGAGGAAGCCGTATCTGGCCAGCACTCATTTCTGCGCTCAGCAGATACACAGTCCCTACCATCTGCCACGCATTGCCCCCGCCCTGTGGAGTTTGCATCTTAGCATTGGGGGTCGGGGAGAGGGACAGATGTGTAAACAACTGCGCAAGATCATTCCAGAGGGTGATGATACTATGAAGAAAATAAAAAATGGAGCGTGACAAAGTGTGACAGGGTTGGGCTCATCAGAGAAGGCATTTCTGAAGAGGCGACATTTCAGCTGAGACCTGAATGTAAAGAAGCCAACAAGGGGGACATGTGGGGGGAGAGGAACAGCCATGTGGAGGAACAGCCAGAACAAAGGCCCTGAGGCAGGTGTGAGTCTGACAAGTTCAAGGAAGAGAAGACAAGCCAGTGCAGCTGAAGGATGTGAGTGAGGGGAGAGTGGGCAGGTGGGCCTTGTGAGCCATGGTGAGGGAGGGGGATGGATGTCATTGTGGGTGCAGTGGGAAGTCATTAGAGGGTTTTAAGCAAGAGAGTGACACATGATGCTACCCAGGTCAAGGACACTGAGAGCAGCCACCTCTCAGTCTTTAGCTCGCCTGACACTGGACATTATTTACTCCATCAATACCCCCTTGCTGGAGACTTGCCCCATTGGCACCAGAGGCCCCAACTCCGCCAGGTCTGCTCTGCCTTAGACTCTGGCTACTTTATCTCAGCCTCTTTCACCTTCCTCTGCTTCTCCTGGGCCTAAACTTGTGGCTGGTATTGCATGGGTGGCATCCAGGCCTCTGCTCTCTGTCCACCTATATCTGGGGTGATCTCATCTATCTACACCCATTGCTTCAGGGTTGGTCCATCTGCTGCTGATAGCACTCAACTCTGCCCAGGCCATTCTCCTATGCTTTACACATCAACATCAGCTGTGTGTCCTCCTCAGGCAGCCCCCTGCCCAGCCCTCCCTCCCCCAGAGGCTCCTGCTCTGACCCCTCTGGCCTGCTCTTCCTCCTGTGCATTCCCTCCCAGTTAGGGGCACCATGTATCTAGTCACCTAGGAGTCATCTCACTTTCAGGTGAACTGAGGACTGAGAATTGGCCATTGAGCTTGGCAACAAGGTCGGTGCCTTTGCCCTGACTGGCTGTGGCTACAGCTTGGAGAATGGCGTGAAGGGGGTGAGCCTGGTAGAAGGACCAGGAGGCAGAGCAAGCATTTCAGGCTTGAGTGGATGAGGGGGGTATTTGTCAAATATCTGTGCCAGGCCAAGATGAGGGACAGGGGGTGGATGTTACTCTAGATGCCATGGGAAGCCATTACAGGGTTTTAAGCTTGGTGTCTTATCTGCCCCTGCCTCCACCCCCAGGATCTTCAGGCGGGGCTCTCCGTGCCTCATTCTCATTCACCTTCACTCCAGCTCAGGCTTGTGTGTGCCTGCCCACCTGGACCTCCCATCCACTCCTTCAGGCTGGTGACTGTGTCCCTGCCTCGAGGAATCCTCCACTGAAGGCCTTGTGGGGCCTTATCCAAGAGGTTCTCAATAAATACTTGTGGAGAGACTGAACCATGAAGAAATGAGTGGATTAGTCAGAGGGCTCTACACTAGCAGGGCCCTTAGGGAGATGGTCCACTTGCTTTGCCTGAGACCCTGAAAGGAAAAGCAACTTGCTTAGGGGGACATATAATTTAGTGGTCAAAGGGGCACAGGAGACTGGAACTCACTAGACCAAGATGGTTCGCAAGCATCCTTCTGAAAGACAATTCTGACCATGTCACCCCTAGGCCCCAATTGTTGGCTGGCTTCCTGTCCCCAGCAGCAGTGTTTATCCAAGTGAGGTCTATAGTCCCTGTTATGGACTGAACTGTGTTCCCCCAAATCCATATGTTAAAGCCCTAACCTAAAGGAGATAGGTCCTTTAAGGAAGTAATTAAGGTTAAATGAGATCATAAGGATAGAGTCTTAATCCAACAGGACTGGTGTCCTTATAAGAAGAGAATGGGACACCAGGAGAACGTGAGCAGAGAAGATGCCACGTGAGGATACAGTGAGAAGGTGGCTGTCTGCAAGCCAGGAAGAGAGACCTCACCAGAAACTAACCCTGCTGGCGATCTTGGACTTCCAGCCTCTAGAACTGTGAGAAAATAAAGTTTTGTTGTTTAAGCCCCCTAGTCTGTGGTACTCTCTTAGGGCAGCCCAAGGCGACTAATACCGACCCCAACTTCAGAACTTCCCAATGCTTGTGTTAAATGTGCAGGCTCACAGACCCACCCAGCCCCAGAGCAGAATGTCAGGGGGGTTGGAGGCCAATAATCCATGTTTTGAATAGGCTCCCAGATGAGGCTGATGCTGTCCAGATCCTCTCCACAAGCTCACTGAGGGCAATGAAGACTGATCCCCCTAACCCTCTGACCACTAGCTGCTCTGACCACCAGCCTACCTCTCTGTGCCCAAGAGGACTTCACATCTTCTCCAGCCTCCAGGTTAACTGGCAAGCTCCTTCTGCCAAGTTGCTTTGTTTTCTCACACCTTCACTGATCCCTCCACAAGCCAAACCAGGGCAGGGCTGGATGTGAAGTCTGGAAACCCAGTGATAATTCAAATCTGAGCCCTGCCACCAAGGCACTGCTGGGCCACGGAGAGAGCTCCGCACAACTGTGATAACTGTGATAAAGACGTGGTAAGAGCTGCAGGAAGGGAAATCATGTGACCTGGGAGTATGGGCAAGGGATTCGAGCTGCAGAATCCTGTAGGAGTGGTTATTCATTCTGAATTTCCGCCTAGCTGCAGTGTAAGCAAGCTGAGGGAAAGCACCCTGTCTTACACACCGTGGTCCCCTCCTTCCCCCCTTAGGCATAATGGGCCTCAACCATTTGTGGGTTTGTGGCCCTCTGGCTGCTTTCAGTGTCCCTAGGAACAGCCCTCCTAGTGACTGGGGCAAAGTTTTAAAAACACAAAGCCCATTTTGGCAAAACAGAGTACTTTAGAGTCAATCAGGTAACACTGGGTTCCAAGGCTAGTTTTCCCATTGACTAGCTGTGTAGTGTGACCTCAGACAAGTCGCATTGTGTCTCTGAGTTTCTTCATCTATAAAAGAAAAGACGAACAATACTATTTACACAGATTGTTTATAGAATTAAATGAAGTAACCACTGTAAAGTCCCCACTTTCTGTCCTTCAATAAAAGTTAACTCATTATTCCTTTCAAAACAGTGATTTGCCCTACTTGAAGGCAATGTGAGAAGATACTGGTAAAAATTAAATGCATTAGACAACCTCTCAATAATAACCCTCCTGCACCCTGGTCCAAGTAATGGGCTTTCACTGAGCACCCACCTTCTGGGTAACGGGCTGGGTGCCCAGTGTTGGAGCAGTGGAGAGGAGCTCACAGTCTCGGTGCTGACAAGTCAGCTCCTGGAGGGCAGGCACTTCCTGTTCGCATGGTATTCCCAGCACCTAGAACAGGCAGGGCCATAGGAGGTGCTCAGTAACTATTTGTTGAATGAATGAATAAATCATAAATGAATGACTGGAAGGTACAATCCAGGGGGCCTCTGACTCATTTTTAAGGTCTTGAACAAGTCCCTTGACCTCTCAGAGCTGCTCCTTCCCTATCTGTGAAGTCGAAGGTGTTTAACTCGCCTCGAGGTCCTGCCCAGAAGGATTAATAGGTCAATAATATTAATAATAGCAACAATAATAACTAAACTGTTGAGCATTGCTATGGACCAGGCACTGCTGTAAAGAACCCTACGAGGTAATAGCATTTTACGTCCACTTTATAGAAGGGGAAACAGGCGCAGAGAGGCACGGAAGGCTCCTGGAGAAGGGGGAATTTGACCAAGTTTTGGAGGAAGGACTGGGGTTCGGACGGAGTAGTGCAGGAGAAGAGGACCAGCGGCCGCGTCCTAGTGTCACAACGCAGTGTTAGAGGCAGACGTCGTAAGACGGACAAACACTGCTCGGGGCCCGGCAGCCAAGCCCCGCCCCCGACGTCTCCTTGGCAACGGCCTCCGCACATGCGCCTCGGGCACCGTCGCCTACCCTTGCGGCGCGCGCCGAAGCCGCACGCAGGTCGGGCGGAAGCAGAACGGCGGGCTCGGGGGCGGGAGCGCGGGGCCGGCTGTTAAAGGGACCGTCTCCACCCTGGCCCATTCGCCCGCGGGGACTGGTGACGGTGAGGGCTGGGTAGCCCCGGGAGTCGGGACCGAGGAGGCAGAGGCGAAGCAGAGCTGTGTGACCCCCTGGAAGTGACAAGGGGGAGAGGGGCTGTGGAAATTCCCTTCCAGGGCAGTAATGGGATGACCGTCTCCGGGGAGCAATGCAAAGGAGAGGGCGCTATAGAGTTGTATGTTCCGGGTGGGGAGGCACAGCTCCATGGGAGAGTCAGAGGTGGGTTAAGAAGGATCACAGGTCCGGCCTGACAGTCACGCCTCTCCCCACCCCCTGTTCTCAGCATTCTGCCACCTCCCTATCCCGTCGGGTGCTCAGCCATGGCCAGACCTCCCGCGCCCGGTTCGGTGATTGTCCCAGACTGGCATGAGAGCGCTGAGGGCAAGGAGTACCTGGCCTGCATCCTGCGCAAAAACCGCCGGCGGGTATTCGGTAAGTCCCCCCCACCCCCACCCCCCAGCCTGTCCCTTGTCATTCCCTGGGGAGAACAGTGTCATCCGTTGCACCCTGGGGGGAGGGCAGAGAAGCAGGGCAGTGAAGGCCCTCCTGGAAGCCTATCCTCGGGGCCCCCTCCTCCAAATCTCCTTAGAGCTAATTCCATCATCAGAGCCAGGAACATGGAAACAGCCAAAACCCTGCCAGCAACCACTGTCACGAGAGATGGTGCTGAATGAGCTCTCACTGGGTACCAGGCCCACTGCTGGGTACTTTACACAATGGACTCCCATTCAACCTCTCAACAGCACATTTTGCATATTTGTCTAAGGTCACACACCAGTAAGTAGAGACAAGCCTCTTCCCTATGTTGCTATCTGAAGGATAAGACACTGGTATTCCCCAGGATGAAGCCATCTCACCCAAGCAGGGCATGGCTGACAGGCCAGCAGAGCAAGAGTCCAGCTCTGACCAGGAGAGACAAAGTGAGAAGGCTTAAGACCAGAGAGTGAGAGCGTAGCCCACAACTTAGAACTTTGGGATCCTTAGCCTATAGATGTGTCATAATTTTTACTGCTTTTTGCAAGTTTTAAATTAAAAACATCTATAAAGATCTTGATACATTGACTTTGTGGGGTTTATTTGTAGTAACTGAGAATACTTTTGTTTATATTTCTCCATGAAAGAAGGAATTGTGGAAAACCATGCTCTTATATGTTGGAAATCTAGAACAGGTGATAATAGTATCAATAAAAACCATCTCATGCATCAAACTCAAAAAAATAATTGGGTGTTATTTGGAGTGGACCATGGCCCAGCTCACAAAGCACCAGTGATCTGGCAGAGCCTCTCATCCGGGGTCCTGTTAAAATGCACGTTCTTGTCCAGTGGGTCTGGGGCAGCTGAGAGTCTGCGTTTCTATCAAGCTCCCAGGGGAGGCCAATGCTACTAGTCCATGGACCACACTGTAACAAAAACTATAACAAAGGATTTCAGAACTACAGTCTCAGATTTTAGATCCACAGTTTTGGGTTTCCAATCAGGACACTGAGTATGAGAGGCTGTTTTGCAATCTTACGAACTTCTCGTCGGCATCTCTCACACATGTGAGGGTTGGGCTTCAGTTATTTGTTATTAATGATAGCTAAGGCACCAAAGTTTGTGAATAATCCACTTTTTTTTTTTTTTTTTAAGAAATTCAGATAGATTCAAAGTATGACCCTGTATTATGGCCATTGTCTCTCTACATCCCATGGTGGCTAGGAACACTGGCTTGGGGTGACCCAGACCCAGGCTCGACTCAGGCTCCACCACCACTGCCTGGCTGTGTGAACTTTAGCCTGAGGTTCCTTCTTCTGTGAAACAGAAGTAATCATGCATTTGCCCCATAGAGTTGCTGGGGAAATGAATAAGGAGCGTATATGTAGCGCACTGAGCATAGTCTGGCATGCAGCAGGTGCTCACCGAGGGTTGGCTGTTATTGTACTTATTGTGTCTTCGGTTGTGTTGAGTGGAATAGAGTTGAGTGAAGGTAGAGCTGATTTTCTGGGAATTACATAGTGCCCACCAACCACATTATCTATGCCACAGCCGGTATTAAGCAGCTATAACTTCAAGGAATGGTAGTGGTGACTTTGTGTTTTTGTAATATTTTACTTTCCAGCAGATATTTGGGGGGTTTTGTTAATAGTTGTGCATACCCACCTAAGTGTGAATGCCATCCAGGCCCTGCAAGAAAGATCAAGAGCACCTGATAAATAAATATCAGTGGACTGTGTCCCAGGCCTCTCTAAAATTAGGATGAATATTGAGAACCATGGATGGTTGGTTAGCCCTGAAGAAATCCCTTAGAGATGAGATTGTCCAACCCAAGGTCTGATGGGGCAAGTGTGAGATTGACCCCCTGACCTCTCCTGGCTCCCTCCTTGCCCCAGGGCTGCTTGAGCGCCCAGTACTGCCCCCGTCTGTGGTCATTGACACTGCCAGCTACAAGATCTTCGTGTCTGGGAAGAGTGGTGTGGGCAAGACGGCACTGGTGGCCAAGCTGGCTGGCCTGGAGGTGCCCGTGGTGCACCATGAGACCACCGGTGAGTGGGGCCCCAACCCTTTGCCCATCCTGGGAGGCCTTCCCAGGGGCAGAAGCAAAAACCTGGCCTGGACCACACAAGCTGGGGTTGATACCCAGCTACGCCACTTATTCTATGACCTGGGAAAGTCGATTTCCCTTCCTGAGCCTCCACTGGGGATCCTCTGTCCCAAGGGGATAATAGTACCAGCCCCACGGGGTTGTTGTGGGGTTGCTACTAGAGACAGTGGTGGTAACATGCCTAACATCAGGCTGGCACAAAGTAGGCGCTCAACAAATGCTAATTTTCCTCTCTTGTTTCTTTCTACTGGGTGCCGATTGGCCCATCATGTTGCAACATTCCCCAGTGTCGCAGGACCTTTGGGTCTCCTTGTACATAAGAGGGACACTGCTTTGTCATGGCTAGGGCTGTATCTTCCTGGTGTACAGGCGGCTCCTCCAGGGCAGGTCTCTTTCCCCCCGATCAGACTGAGAATTCTCCCAGGTCAGGGACTGTGCCTTCCCCATCAGACTGGGGACCCACCGGGGTAGGGATGTATCTCTTCTTCCCATTTCTAGCCCCCTACCCCTCTACACCTCTGCCTCTCCCATGCTGAATGGCTGACACCTGCCCTCCCCAGGTATCCAGACCACTGTGGTATTTTGGCCGGCCAAGCTGCAGGCCAGCGACCGTGTTGTCATGTTCCGCTTTGAGTTCTGGGACTGCGGGGAGTCTGCACTCAAGAAGTTTGATCATATGCTGCCGGTGAGCAGGCAGATGGGCCTGGGTGGGCTCCAGGAGGGACTGGTTGTCTGAGGAGAGCTTCTGAGCACAGATGTCTGAGCCAAGCCCATCTTGTCTGCAGGAGCCCAAGTTGGGCATGAATGATTAAGGGCACTGCACTGGTTGGTAGAGCTCTGAGCTGGCACTGGGAACTGTGTCCCAGCCTGAGCTCTGCCCTAGGACCAGCCACTCCTGATCTGGGCCTCAGTTTCCCAATCTGTGAAAGGAGGGATGGTTACTGATTCTTCTCAGGGCTCTGCAGCTGATAGGAGGGTTCTGATCCTGTGGTCCCGCGGTTATGTGGTCACGTGCCTCTCCATCCCCAGGCTTGCAAGGAGAACGCAGACGCCTTCCTCTTCCTTTTCTCCTTCACTGACCGTGCCTCCTTTGAAGACCTCCCTGGACAGCTGGCCCGTGTTGCAGGCGAGGCCCCTAGTGTTGTCAAGATGGTCATTGGCTCCAAGTATCCTTTGGGTGGCCCCTGGGACTGCCATGGGCTTTTTCTTAAAAGGTGCAGCAGAGCCTACCCCAGACCCTGAGTGTGGGGCTCCGGGGAAGAGGGAAAAGGCCGGATCTGATGGGGTGGTGTGCAGATGTGCCCGCCCAGGCTCCTTGACCTTCCTCCAGATTTGACCAGTACATGCACACAGATGTGCCTGAGCGTGATCTCACAGCCTTCCGACAGGCCTGGGAGCTGCCCCTGCTGCGGGTGAAGAGTGTGCCAGGGCGGCGGCTGGCTGACGGGCGCATGCTGGATGGGCGGGCTGGGCTGGCTGACATTGCCCACGTGCTCAATGGCCTCGCTGAGCATCTGTGGTACCAGGACCAGGTGGCCGCTGGCCTGCTTCCCAGTCCCCAAGAGAACGCCCCCGGCTGAGTAGTGTTGGCATCAGGAGTGGGTCCCAACCCTTGGGTGACCCAGGACAGAGGGCAGTACCAAGGGCCTAAGTCTGGGCAGAAATATTGATCCCATCCTAAGGACAGGCCAGAGAGACCCAGTCAGGGAGGACAAGGCCTGAGAAAGCCCCTGCCCAGCAATGCTTCCCTTACAGAATCCGTGGCAGTGAGGTGGAGGCACACGGCTAACACTCCCTCAGCCTCCCACTGCCCTTTCCCTTTCAGCAGCACCCATGGAGTGTGACTGGGCAGAGAGGGCACCTCAGCAGGGCCCTGGACCTCAAACAAGTTCAGTCAAGAAGTTCTAGTTGAGGTAACACCATCTGCTGTAACAGATAAACCCTGAAATCTCAGTGGCTTAACTCCACAGAAGTGTTTTTTCTTGCTCGGGTCTTACTTCAGGAGGAGGCAAGGGCGGGTGTGGGGCTCTGCTCCATGTGCTCATTCAGAGACCCAGGCCCTGAGATCTTCCCAATTTGCCCTGTGGCATCAACATCCAGTTGAATGAATGAGAGTGGAAGATCACCCAGGAGGTTTCTGAGGACCAGGCCTGGGGTGGGATGGCTCGTTTCAGCCCCCACTCCACTGGCCAGCACCCAGTCACATGACCACACAGTGGCAGGGGAGGCTGGGAGATGTAGTCCAGGCGTGTGCCCAGGAGGCAAGTCCTTCACCCTGCAGTGCCTTTCTTGATCATGTAACTGTCAGGCCAGGCTTAGGAAAGGGGCCCTGCCAGCCTGAGAAATCAGAAAGCAGCACTGAACAGGTCCAAGACCACACAGGGTGGGGGCAAGGGTGTGAGATGGTGACAGACAGCCCTGCCCTGAGGGAGGCCAGCAAGGACAGGAGCAGGAAGGTGAGCCTGTGTCTCACTCCTGCCCCCTCAGCCAGAGATACTGGTGAATATAGGCTCAAGTGGGGTGAGGGGAAGGAATGGGGAGGGGGCCTTTCCACTCTTACCCCTGAAGATACCCTGCCCATCCCCATAGATGGATCCCTGGACTGAGGCCTGGCCTGAGTCTGATCCAGCTGGAAGGGCCAAGGGCGCCCAAGTATAGTGACCCCCAAGGTCACTGACCCTCAGAGCCGCCTCTTGCGAAGGCAGCCCTGGCAGCTCTGTACAGCTCACACGCACATGCACAATCATATGCTCACAAACACCAGCACTTGTACTAGAATGCTCCCTCACTCCAGCCTCCTGGCGCACATGGGAGGCTCACCCTCATTTCCATTGCCCATACTCACCCATCCTGGCTCACACAGGTACACCAGTGACGCCCACACGCCTGAGCACACTGCTCACGTCCCCATGCATGCTGACAGTCTGTTCACCCTGACCACTGCCTCGTGGGTTTGTCAGCCCTTCCAAAGACTGATTTCAGCACTTCCTTACCCCCAACTCGGGTTCAGAGCTCAGATCCTGAATTTGTCCTGTACCCCAAGGAGGAATGTCTCCAGGCAGGATCCCTGAGCCTCAGAACTTGCAGTCTTTCCCATGGTAACCCTCAGCCCTCAGCTCTGCTCCCAGCAGCCCCCATCCAGCCACTTCCCCTCCATCCTTAGCTCTGGAAGACTACCTCACCCAGGAAGCAGCGAAGTGTGGGGACAGGACCCGGGGAAGGCAGCCCCTGGGCCTGACTGGGAACTTCCAGCTACCCCCACGTCCCAGCCAGTTATATCTGGGCTAAACACTGTCCCAGAAAGGAGACATCCCCATCCTTCTTCAGCATTAGCTCGGCCACAAGTCAGTAGGCTGTTCTGGAGGAGTAACCCAGACCCTCCCCACTATAAGGCAGACTGGATTTCTCCTGCTTAGCACTGCTGTGGGCAGAAAATTGACCCCTTACCCACCTTCACCCCAGGGGTTAACAACTCCCTCCACGTGTCTCCCTGGTAAGAACAAAGCGGGGAGAGCAGTGGGGTGGGGGCTCAGAGCCCTGCCACCCCCCTCCCAGGGTTCTTTCTCAGCTCCTCCAGAACCCGCCCCTGTGCTACTTTAGTATTTAGTAGACCACCCCCCCAGGGTCCTCCACCAAAGTGCAGAACTGGCGCAGGGAGGGACGAGGTCACTGCAGAGCCATGATTCTTCTGATAGCTGAAGGCTGTGCTTCCTGGGCGGTCCCTGGCAGGCCCTGTGGAGGGTGGGTGAGAAGACAGAGTGTGTACACGTGGGCACACATTCAGGTCGACTTCAGGGACCTGCAACCTGTACGGTCACACGGGGCCCTTGCACTCAGAAGGGCCCATGCCTGGTTGAATGCTCTGCTGTTGACATCTTGAAATTCTTTTTTTTTTTTCTTTTTCTTTTTGTCTTTTTTTCGTGACCGGCAACGGGATTGCAACCCTTGGTGTCGCGCCCGAACCACGCTCAACCAGTGAGCGGACTGGTTTCTATATGGGATCCGAACCCTCGGTGGGAGCGCCGCACTCTACCGAGTGCACCACCGGGCCGGCCCTTGAAATTCTTAATAATGTTCGAACAAGGACCCGCATTTTCATTTTGCACCGAACACCACAAATTAGGTAGCAAGTCCTCCGCATGTTGTCCAGAGAGGGCGTCTAGGCTCCAGATAAAGCTTCTTTCTCAAGCCCTCAAAGACACAGGCCACTTCTGCGGAGTGACAAAAAGCCACCAGAAGTTAGGAAGTCACCTTCTTCCCATTTTGGTGCCAGAAATTCCACCATTTGGTTAAGCCTCACAACAGCTTCTCAAAGGCAAATACCACTTTGACTCACTCTCCCCTTCTTGGGCCCTGAGTCCTTGGAGGGAGGGGTAGTGATTATGCCCCCAGGCTGATTTAGGGGTGACCCTGACTTAGAGGGGACAACTGGGAAAGGGATAGCCAGGTTAGCTTTTTGGGGCCCTGGAGCCTCTGCACTTGGAGGCCCTGGAGGGAGCTGTTGGAAGGAGGGACGCTGTTCTCCCAGGGCAGGAGTGACGGTGTGTACGTGCTGCCAGGCCCAGCCCTGCTGCTGTTTGTCCCGGAGCCAGCACTTCCCAGCCCCCTCCTCTCCCTCTACACACTGGCCTCTCTGAGAGCCCCAAGCCCCTTCACAACAGATGGGGAGACTGAGGCCCAGAGAAGGACAGGCATTTGCCCAAGGTTGCAGAGCCAGGAAGCAGCCCTGATGCTCTTCGCCCTCTGCATCCGCCTCCCTTGAACTGTCCTTCCCCTCATTTCCTAATGCTGTTTTCTGGGTCCAGCCCCTCACAGGCTCCTACTGGAAGGAGGCTCCTCCCTCTTTTTCCTACTGGAAGCCTGGGGCTGCCTGTAGGAGGGGAAATCCCGTGCTGGCGCCTCCCTCCCCGTCTCCTTCCCTTTTTATCCCCCCTCTCATCCCCCCCACACCCTTCCCAGGCCACACTGAGCTGACAGTGAAGCCCCTGCTTGCTGCCAGCAGAGCCTGGCCTTGTGGCTGAGAGGGAGGACCCCAGGGACGGTATGCCCCCCAGGACGACGAAGCGACGAAGCAGATGCAGGAGCCAGACCTGCAGGGGCTGCTGGGAGGGGCCACGGGGGCCTTGGGTGGGTCCAGGGTGGGGATAGGGCTTCCTGATCTTACTCTCTGGGCAGGCTGGTGCCAGCCATGATCCCCACATGCCAGGACCTGACGGGGCGGGGGCGGGAGGGACCGTGCATGTCCAGATGGAGGCTCAGGGTCCAAGACACTTTGGAAGTGTGTGGAGGCAAATCCCCAGAGGGCCAGGCTGGGGGGTGGGGAGGTGGAGGTCCCTCCCTGTCCCTCTCTGTGACCTCAGGCCCAGAGGCTGGGATAGTTGCGGTGGGGGGAGAGGAAAGGGGGAGTTGGAGTTCAACTCTATTCTAGAAAGAAAGGGTGGATCCTGGGAGCAAGTGGGGAGGGTCTGAGGCTTACTTAGCGGGTGGTCCAGCAGGAAGGTGAAGGAGAAGAGTGACCTTTCGTGTGCACGGTGGACACATCTGTAAATGCAAAAAACATAGCACGATTTCTTTGAGTTGTGAGAAGTAAATGCCTGTCAAATGTTTAGCACCGTGCCAGGCACCAAGTTAAGGGCCCAATAAATGTTGACTATTATCACCGTCCTTTATTACAGTAGTGGTGGCGGTTCTTGGGCTGAGAGCGGGTGGAGAGAAGGAAGGGTCACAGATGGCGCAGACAGCGCCTGGATTGTTACACTTTATATTTAGCCGGTGGTGGGCGAGCTGGGGGGCGGCGGGAGGGGCGGCCCGGCTGAGCCTGTTGAGAAGCTCCAGGCACCCGCGACCGCGCCCCGACCCCTTCACCCTCACCCCTGCGCTTGTTGCGCCTAGGATGGCGATGCGCCAGGGACAAGGACCCGGACGGCAACCCTATCTGCGCGTCCCGCGGCAGCATTTATGGCCCGGACTCCAGGGACTACTTTTTCCGCGACGGGAAAACCAAAGTCGATGAGACGGGACTCTTGCCCCACCTCACCCGGGCGGCCAGAGTAGCCAGGCCACGGTCCCTTCCTGAAATTTCCTCTTCGCTCCCCGAGCAGTCCCGCAGCATCTCTTGTCCATTTCTTCCTCCTTCGAACTAACCCCAATCCCTCTTGCTATAGCGCGGTTTCCCTTTAACTTTGGCATTAGCGGGACTGATAAATCCAGACCCCGCTCCGCACCCACCCAGGATGGAAGTGGGACAGGGTGGGGCAGACCTCGTGCTGGTGCGGAGGGGAAGCTGCGACCCCTGCAGCGGGCGGAGCGGCAGCGGCTCGTGCAGCGGAAACTGCGCGCGGCGGGGCTGCTCCTCCAGGGGGCGAGCGCGGCGGGGCGCGGGGCGCCACCGTTCGGGTCCCGAGGCCGAACGCGACTCCCCTAACCGGCTCTGTGACATGCGCAAACGGCTTCAGCGCCTCATCTGCAAAGTGAGGCCATGACGATGACACGGGCGAAGCGTGTAAAGCGCTCAGCTCAGTGCCTGACACGTCAGAGGTGCCGGAGGAAGGGGAAAGACCGGTCACTGCATGACGCCGGCTCACCGGCGTGTCTCCATGTTTGTATGAGGGTGTTGGTTCCCTCCTCGTTTGAGTTTCAAACGGGAAAACGTGTGTCAGAGGACTTTTTTTTTTTTTTTAAAGATGACCGGTAAGGGGATCTTAACCCTTGACTTGGTGTTGTCAGCACCACGCTCTCCCAAGTGAGCTAACCGGCCATCCCTATATATGGGATCCGAACCCATGGCCTTGGTGTTATCAGCACCATAACTCTCCCAAGTGAGCCACGGGCCGCCCCGTCAAAGCACTTTTGAAAGGGGCAAGGACCTGTTACCCACAGACCAGGCTCGGCTTGTCCTCTCGCATTAAACAAATGACTCGAAAGTCCAGACGCTGGTGCAAGGATTAGAAGGTTTATTTAGATAACC